TGAAGGTCAAGTCTGTCACCCTGTGTAGATAATATCTCAGAAGTATCGCTCATTTCTAAAATAAATGTTTCAACCAATGATCAAGTTAAGTAGCCAAATAAACATTTCTGTATTTATAGCCATCACTGCAATCTTCTATTAAATGCATACTGATGTCTGTATCTTGTATTTATATAGCATCTATCATCTGAAGATCTGAAAATACTTGCTGTCTCTTATCTAACTTGGCCTCACAAATGCTTTGATTACAAGCATTTTACAGTTAGAAAAATAAAATGCACAGAAAGGGGCAGCTATTGCCTAGTAATCTTACAACAAGAAAATGGGAGATCCAGGCTTGCATTACAGTTAGCTCTCTGAGCACCACCCAGTCCACATCTGCAAATAACCCTGCAACATGTACACATAAAAAAAGTGCCATTGAAAAGAGTTTCACATATAAATTTTCCAAATAAGTTTAAATCACAATACGGGTTATGTCTTAATCCAGATGGCAGTTTTGCTTTATTATATCAATATAATAATACTGAGTTCACAGGTTGCCATGAAGTCAGCCCTTTTATCTCCTCTCAAAATGTGACCACATAATTTTATATAAAGAAAAAACGTTAAAGAATAATTTCATTAAAATGGTTTCTGTTTTTCCCTTACATTTATCTGATGTATATTATTTTTGAAAAAGTCTGAGGTATATTTAAGTACTATGAATATTTAGCAAAATCATCCTATCAGAAATTTGAGTTGTTAATCAATCAAAACTACTCCTATTTTTAGAAAAATTATAAGTCAAGCTTCTCTTAAAGACATGATCTAAAAGAGCTTCCCAACTGACCCGATCTTCATTGTTACCAAGCAATACAAAAGAATGTGTAATAGTAGAATAGACTATGACTGTCAGTTGACTCCATTTGACTTTGACAACTGAGAATGTTTGTGGAAAAGTCACGATAGCCCTTTGCCACCAATTTAATCTCATTTTGGCCACTCAGCAGAATACAACCATTCAAAGAGTGAAAGTGATAGCAAGGAGTATTTCAGAATCATGATGTCAGTGGGGATGTATCACCAGTAACTGCACTTAGTTACCAATTTATCACCAGGCTGTATCAGTGACACAATGGGCATACTGCCCAGCATGGCTGGCTATTCTAGAATGAAACTAGCTCCTACTTGTGGAGGAAAGGTGTGATTCAACTGTTTCCAGCAGTGTCATTTACTTAGAATTTTTAAATATCTAGGTTTTTGTTTCTCATCACGTAAACACCCCATTTAAGCTACATGTTTTCCCTTATGTTTCTAAGGCTAACATCTTAATTATGCCCATATATTAATAAACTCTACTTTTCTTATTTATCTTTAAAAATATCCCCTTTGCTCTGTAAAGTGGTTAGACACAAGGAGTTTGGTAATAACTAGCCAGGCAACCTCACACTTACTTCCCTGGACCTTAGATTTCTCATTGATAAAATGATCCTCCATTTTACTTCTAACCTCCTTTTGCCTGAAAGGAGGCAAAAGGAAGCTAGAAGTTCTGTGATCTCTTTAGTTCTGTGATCTGACTCTCTGCCCTGCCCTTCTGTCCACCCATGGCACATACAAGAATATTTTCATTCTCACTTTTTTCTATTCTAGGAATAAACTGAATCTGTGAATAGACCACTGGTCCTCATTCTCAGAGTAGCCAAGCAATATATACCTTTGGACACAAAGATAGTAAAAATCTTCTTTTGCTCTCAACCAACTTCCTCCACTACTGTGTTTCTGATAATGAATCTTTATCCTTCAATCTCATTTACAAATATGAATTTAATACACATACTATATAAAAAGCAATGGGCTGGATCCTGAGAGGGATTAAAGACAATGAAGTATAAAATATGTGTTTAAAACATATTTCCTGCTTTCAAGAATTTTACAACCTACTTGGGAAAATGAGGGAGAATAATTAGTGTTCCGCATCCTCATCAGCACTTGATAGTATCCAATTTTTAAACTGGAAGAAAATTCAATAGGTAAAAAAATGGCATCTATTATAGCTTCTATTCACATTTATCTGATTATTAAGAGGCTGAACTCATCATTCTGTTTATGGGCACATATAAAAACCTCAATTTATTTTGAGGTTTTTAATATTTTTCTATCATTGATCATATAATACTTATTTTAGTACTTTTATGTTATCACAAAGTTGGGGTAGTCTCTCATGGTGGATGTACTCATAGGGTATTGCAAGTGCAGTGAATCATCTTCCCTTGCAATTAGCTGTACAGTCAACATTGCTAAGGTGTGAAAAAGTTCTCTCATAGATCCTTTGGCTTGAACATTAAACGCATTAATATTATATTTCAGTGCTACTTAAAATGCCGGTCCCCAACAAGATCAGTAACTTGTGCCAGTATGTAACTCAAGTCACTGCTTTCTTCATCAGGAATGTCTTTCTATTAAAAAAAAAGTCAGCTCAACTAAATATTGTGCTTCATTCTATATCTGATTTATTTTTTGGCTCAAGTACTTTATCTCACTTCAGACCCGTAACTAACAGTTTGAGAACTGGCAGCCAGTCCATGGGCCAAACTTTGCATAGTACATTGTACAGGCTTCTGCATTTTATATGCATATTTAATGTCCTATAATAGATATCTGTGTATATATGTATGTATGCACATATATATATAAAATATGTGCATAGATGTATACATCATATGCTTATATATGTCTACATTGTTAATTTTATGATTCCAAATATAAATGACTGGGAAGAAATAAAAGCTGTTTCACTTGCTTTGTATGACAGCTAATATTCCTCCACATACCCTAAAAGCTTTAGACATAATGGGCATTTAATAGTTGCATTTGTGGATACACAATTTAATGACAATAATTATAATGACAGATAGATTTGAGTTAATTCTGAAGATTTTTAAGGTTCAGCAAATAACCAGCAGTATTTATTTAGTGCTTATGAGATGTTCAGTGCTGTGATATGTACCATGGATAGTCAAATATGATGCCTGCCCTGGATGCAAGGAGTTAGATATGTAAAAAAATCAGTGCAATAATGTGTTGCATGTACCCAGAAATATTGATTTATAGTAAACACTAGGGGTTTAGAAAAAAAAGATTGCTACTAGACAGGGGAATTGGAGAGGATGAAGAAAATCTTCCTAGAAGCAAAGACTCTTGAATCTATTGACTCCAGTTATATTTCTTGATGAAGTTTACTTCCTTAGCCATGGTAATATTGTAACTTCTACCTAAAAAATGTATCCCAGGTTTTTTATACATTGTACTATTAGCAGTAAACAGAAGACTGCTTTCTGGGGATATTTACCTGTCTCTTGGATGCACTGTAGAGTGTGTTATCCTCCTAATAACAAATAACTAAAGTAGGTATCATAGACCCTAACTGGAACATATGCTCTAATTTGTACCCACAAAGAAGTTTTCAAATTAAATAATGAAAATTCAAAATCCAGCAGGATATAAGAATAAATTGATCCTAAACTATTTTAATCCTCTAAGTGTTCTTGTTTTGTATCTGTTCACCTACTAAGTAGCTCACTGGTATTCAAAGGAAGCCATCTGTATTTGCTCCTTTTGTTTTTCTGTCTATATAATAGGACTGGTCTTGAGGTTTTATCTTATCATGTCACTGAAGAATAATGAAGTACAATGTTCACATATATCTTCACAAACATGGAGAGCTCTATAATGCTGAATAATAATTTTATACCTTTGAACATGTTTTTTGTTCCTTTCCCTATGATTGTCTGTTTCTTTCCAGTTCCTCTTCTGACTGCTGGAATATCAGTGTTTTTAATCTCTAATCAATTTCACTCTTCTTTCTGTCACTGTTGTGAAGTACAAGTAAAATTCTTCAGTACATTTTACCTTTTATTCCTAACCCCTCCCCAAAATATTGATTACAGCAGCCACCTTATTCAAAATGGTTCTTTTGGGAGAAACCTAATAAAATTCTAAGCCCATTCCAGGCTTGCAGACATATCATGTTTACTTCAGGTAAACAACTCTATTTAACCAGAAAATCCAAAGCTTTATAACAGAAGCACTACTTTCACAGAAAAGTTGTTCCTAACATTTTAGCCTTGAAGGAAAACTTCTGATACTTTGGAAACTGAATTTCAAAATAGAAGTAGGTCAAAGTGGAAATTTTAGGTCTGTGATCTGAAATGTCACATTCTAATAGATAATACCAGGACCTCAAGGGCATTGCTAAACGTTTGCTCTCCGATAATGAAAAGAAATTATATTTATGCTCTAAAGCTTTTTTGTTCATAATTTATTTTGAAATGTTTTAAAAGTTGTTTTCTATGGTTAGAAGCATGTATCTTTAGTTGAGGCAGGCTATATAAAAATTTTTTGAGGGTAACCCAAAATACTGAATTTAAATGTATACCATATTTGAAAAAAAATTAAAAGTTGGATTATTTTGGAGTAAATTTTCTCTTAAAATAACATTAGTGTGAAAAATTATTCTCCTTGGCTTAAAAAGTTAATCATAACAATAATTCAGTTTTAGAAAGGTTTCAGACATTGTTGATTACTTTTTCCAAATATAAATTATAGATGTATTACTATTACTGTGAAATATTCTTATATTTAACTTTTTTAAATAGTTGGTTTAATTAAAAAAATTTGAAAACTTGAACACTTCACATTTTACTTTTTAGCTCTTAACCTAAAGCCTGGGCATTTTAGGACAGACAATGCAATCAAACAACTTTGTAATCAGGATATCTTCATGATTTCTTTCAATTCAAATCGATTAAATTTCAATAAATTTATTCTAGAAATATATATATAAATATATATATATGCCTGAGATAAATTTATGAGGATATGGATATATAGTATTTTATAATAGGAGAAACTTAGAAATATTCTATTATTCATCAAAAGGGAAATGGTTAAATATAAAATGAAAAAAGCAAGTTGTAGGACATTATAATATCATTTTGTTAAACTTATCATTTATAAAATTTTATAGCTATATGTACCTGGAAGATTAGATAACAAACTGTTATCAGAAAACATCTTAGTGCAACAGGATGGGCAGCGCGAAGGTAAGAAATTTTCATTATATCTGAAATGATTTTTGTAAAGTTTCGATTTTACTCTGCTTTTGTGTTGCAATACTTTTGGAATAAAAATAAAATAAAATAACCCCAATAAATATCATTTAAAATGTTCACAAAGGGGGCAGTCATGGGGCTAGCAACCAGCCATGTATATGTAGGCTCAAGGTGGTGGCCCATAGGATGTCAGAGGGCTGCAGCCAGGAGATCAATTTGAAGATGGAAAACAAATAAACACCAGAAATCAAGGCTAGGTGCTGGGTCAAGTCTTGGCAAGCTGTCAAAACTGACAAGTAATTGCCTGAGATGAGGTTAGAAGTCAAAACATACAGACATCCAGGAGTCTGGAAGAACAGTGCTACTAAATGCGAATGCGAGCAACGTTGTGGTCAAATTTAGTAAATAGCCAGAGTACTCATACCCCATAAATCAAGGTGAAGCAACTCACCTACTGATTACGAACCATGGGACCTAGAATGGCAAAGAAAATCAATGATTACAACATTCAGGCAAAAAATTGGGAGGGCAATATAAGAGAAACGAAGATAAACAGTTTGGGAAAATAGGGTCAAGGAAAAGAAATATGCACTCCATTTAGCAAACAAGTAGACCAGGGATATCAATAAGGGGTGAAGTCTTTATCTTCCACAAAGTCTTCTCTATGCCTCCTAGTGAAGCATAATGAATCCAGGGGTGCGGTTAGCCTAGGATATCAAATGAAAACGGGTTTGTAAAATAGGGTGAGTGGGTCAGTAGTTAAAATGACAGAAATGGAGAGTGTCAAATTCTACACAAAAATAGGATTTTCACATTCTTATTTTCAGTACAGTAATTTGTGAGGACTAGATATTTTTAAAGTACCCTGTTTGTGGGCAACTTTTATTGTGCTCTCCCACTGCAGCTACCTAAAAATAGTTCTACATGTTTGCAGAGAATTTTTTGTATGAGTGCCTTCCTTCTATTTATTCCTAGGGCATAATTTTCCTTTCTTGTGCTTTCACAAGCCACTTCCCCATCTTAAGAAGGTCATTTAAATTTTCAAGTTTATTCTAAGGACAGTTACCCCTCCCAACTTGATGTTATCCATGAACTTAACGAATAAGAACTCCACTTAATCATCCCAGTCACTGACAGAGATACAGTAATGGACCCAGGACAGATACTAAAGCATCACTCAATATCTACTTCCATCCTTTGGGGCAGCATGGAGCGATTAATAACTACTCTTTCAGTGTGACCTTCCAAACAGTTGCACACCCATGCTCTAATAGTAGGATCTCAACTCTGCTTTCCTGCTCCCTAATTAATATCTCACAAGACTGAATTGAAAGCCTGACTGAAATAAAGATCTTATATCTATTGCTTTCCTCTTAACCACAGGGTCTGTCACTCTGTCACAGAGGGAATTAGATTAGTCTGATCTGATTTGTTTTTCATAAAGACATAGTTTTTGACCCCCTCCCAGAGCTTCTATATGTTTGCAAATTGAAAATTGGTCAATAAAAAGAACATATAGCAGGCTTTGTGTTTCAAATATTTGTAATCTGGATACAGAGGTCCCTTAGCCAACAGAAGAATTAAGTGCATTGTGACTTTTATTTTCAAGTACCAAGATCAATGGACAGACATTCATTTGCTCACCATTTTCCTTGACTTTTCACACAAAACATAAAATAAGCTTCAGTGTTCATTTATTTGCTATTTTATTCCTCTCAGACATCTCACACAGATGTGTATAGAGGCTTAAGATATATCTCCAAATCTGAAAATTGGTCAAAAACTCTAAAACATGCCTTAAAGAAGTAAGGAAATGATTTTAAAACACACACACACACACACACACACACACACACACACACACACACACATACACAAAGAAGTACAAAAGAAGTAGTTAACTGGGGTAATTCTTTCTAATTAGACTTGAAATAGGTATCAGTATCTGATGTAGAGAAAAATGAAACAGAGAAGGTTAAGGAGTGAAAGGTTGTTATCTAAATAGAGTTGATATAAAGGCTTCCCTGAGCAAAAAAACTGAAAGAGACGAGGGATCAAGCCATGTTGTTATCTGAGGAAGAGTATTTTCAGGCAAAGGAACAGCAAAAACTAGATTAAAATTTTTTTTAACTTAATGAAATTGACCTGGTTATGGTGGTCTCAAATACTGAGCTATTGAGAAGGAAAAGATAGAGTCACTGTATATATATAGATATCAGTGCATTTTAAAATGAAAATACTATTTTGATCACTTAGAGTATAACACAAGTATTTGCATTAAAACTTGCCCTGCAATGGATTTATATATATAATGGTAATCCTTTATAGGTGAAAATTATTTTATTGAAGAAATATTATTTTTCAGAGGGTTTTTAATAGAATTTACACATCAGAAAAGCAACTCCATGAACAGTATTTTCCTAATTAGTTATATTTTAAGAGGTTATGGGCAAGAAATATTTTCCCTGTATGTGGGCACATACACACATACATACCTACATCCAAAACACACATACAGCATACATACACACTTCTATACCACAACAGTGACGGAATATTACAGCTAACAATTAAATTCAATGTTAGTTCATTCACCTTTCATAATCTTAAAATATATATGAAATAGCCAAGTAAGTAATTTGAAATAATTATGCTTTATATATTGGAAGAAAGGAAACATATCTGTCTCATTTAGAACAGCTTAAATTTTGAGGCTTAATGAACTGAAAAATCACTCAACATGATTGCCAAATGCATGCTATCCTTTTCCACCTACTCTAATTTCTTCCTCAGAATTAAGCGTACAAAGTTACCATTGGCACTGGTACAAAAGAAAATCTATAACATAAGGGCACTTTTCAAGGTGTGTCAATTTTAAAGGCTTAAAAACAGTGCAATTTTATGGAAAGTGAATAGTCGTATCCTTTTCACAATTTCAATGTCTGATTGAATCAACTCAAACATTCAATCAATCATATTGCAGGTAAGGCCAACTACACCATGACTAAATTGTCAGATTAACCTTCCGTGGCTGTAACTGGCATAATGTATTATCCAGATTGTATGAAAGACATTGAAATAAAGTGTGTATTTTGGAATCCAGAAAAAGATGACTGAGATAATGTTGTCCTAGGTCACAAGGGGAACGGGGTCAGATCATCCTATGATAGGTCTGTAATTGATAAAGGAGATAGAAATAATGACCTCCAGCTAACATGGTGTGCTAGGGTGAAGAAAACAACGTGTTAGGGCATGCCAGGTTGTGTTAGTCATAGAAAGGCTTGTTATCACTATAAATTACAGACACAAAGGAAAGTGCTTAATAATAGTGAGGTGATGCTTGATTACTCAAGTGATAACTAGAGAAAATGTCACTGCTAAATTAATATCATTCTTTTTCCTGAGTAAGAAAGAATGTATATGAGTTATAAATTTATCAAAGTTTAGGCAAATTTGAAAAAAGGGAATTGTATCAGAAAGCAAAGTTGTTCTATGGAAAATTTTAGATGTTTTAAGATTGATGTTTTTCTAGATGGCTCTTTCTCTAAACAAACCTTCAGATGGACCTATCTATATATAATTACCAATGTCATAGTTGGGAAGAACGTACATGTGAGTTAATTAGTGACACAGAATTGAAGGACTAAATTTTCAAGTGTCGTAAGTGTTACCATAAGCCAAAACTAGACTAGCCAAACTAGTCAGACTTTGGTACCATTTTTCACATCATACTTCTTTAAAAATCCCCAGGGTAGTAAGCATTATTATAATTTGGATATCCACTCCTACCATTTTGAAATCTTAGACAAAAAAAAAAAAAAATTACCTGAATCCACCTCTCTGTGATTGAATAGGCTGACAATGATTGCCTATAAAATTTTATTTCTGTAAGAACTATCAACGATTAGTGTCATTTTGACAGGAAACTTATGTGAATGACAATATGTTTCTCCTTACTCCACAAAGTCAGACCATGGATAAAAAAATACAAATGGTGTTCCTGAGAAATTTTACATTACATTAACCACTTATAATTGATAGGCTAATACTACTTATCAAATAATGGATATGTGAACCAAGAAAGTCTGCATGCCACAACTAAGAAGTCTGCATACTGCAACTAAAAAAAAAAAAAAACAAAAGATCCTGCAGGCTGCAACTAACACCCAGCACAAAATAAATAAATAAATATTAAAAAAATAATAAAGGATATGTGATATGTTGAAGGCAGAGAAAAAATAGCTACTGAGGACATGATAAGAGCCTTTCATCTTTACTAGTAGGTCAGTGGTATTTTTGGAGAACAAGGAGACGTTAAAATATTATTTTTTTATACGTAATCTTTCTTATGGTATATCATTTCTATTTCCTGGACATAAATTCTTATTAGCTTGAAACACATAATCTTATCATTCACCTTAATGCTCCAGACATTATATATGTTTCAGTTAAAGTTAATTTTTCTTTTGGGAAACTTTCTCTTGGGTGATGGAAGTTACAGAATTAATCTCCATATATCAAGCTATAAGGAATATCCACATGTTTATTCAACGGATACAAGTATTGTGTACTGATCACTCATATAATATAAGCAGGCTTGCCATAAGTAGCTAAATTTTCTAAAATGATGATAAACACTTCAACATTTTCTGGACAAAACAAGTCTTCCCTTGATTGCACTGTAGTTTTAGTCCTAGAAAATTCAGTCTATCGCAAAGCTGTGAAAAGGAAAATTCAGTGTCTGTGTTCTAGATGCAGAGATTATAAACACATTTTTAATCAACTTAAAGTTCAGCTCCATAAAGAAGAGCTGTGTAATACACAGAATGAGTTTTCATTGTGAGAGACTGTTTCCTAAAAAACAGATCTTAGAGCATCCCTCGTCCCTCCCACTAAAATCCCTCTAATTACTGTAGCAACCAAAAAATGTCCCCTTAAATTTCTTAAATGCTCCCTAACGGAAGTAACAAGCTGTTTTAAACCATGAACTA